GGCACATCGCATTGGGTACATCTGCTGTACAATTCCTCCTTAAACAGTTGAAAAACAAACATTACTTTGAGGAGTAAGGTATGTTTGATCCAAACCAGGGTATTTTTAATTACCTCATATGCATGTGAAACATTGCATAAGGGAGATGAGAAAAGAGACAATTACGGTGCTGGCAAAGAGTACTGAAACACTATGAACCGCCAAAAGAAGGAACAAGTCTGTCTTGGAAGAAGTACAGCCCAAATGCTCCTTAGAGGCAAGGATGGCAGATTCCGTCATGGACTTGACCGTGTTATCGGGAGACCAGTGCCTGGGAAAGGACATTATCCTTCCTAAAGTAGAAGGACAGTGGAAAAGAAGACCTTGACAAGATGAATTGATGTAGTGGCTAGAATTGTGTACTTGAATATAACAGTACTTGTGACAACGGCGAAAGAGCAGGCTGTGTTTAATTCTGCAGTACACAGGGCTGCTATAAGCTGGCACAACTCTACACCTGACAAAAGTTTTGTCTCTCCTTGTTCTGTAGTTTCAGCCACACGTAAGTTCATCCTCTTGACAACACCCTACATAGGTTCGTGTATGCGCATGCGTGCACATTTTTTCCTAATTATTTTTGTAGCATATTTATACTGACCAATTTGTCTTTAATCTCACGAATTTTGTCTTTCTATGTGATTTATTATCAGTAAATATTTGGGTTTTATACCAGCTTTATGTATCTGGGGTCATACAATTTTTTCAGGTGATAAGAGTAAGAATTCCTGCTCTAAAGAGGTAAATCCAGTGAATAGGTGTATATATGGAGAGAGAGATGTACATCAAGAAAATGACTCACACCGTTGTGGGAGCAGGCAAATTCCAATCCAAGCAAGCTTTTCCAGGTTCAGGCAGCTGTGGGGGCTGATGAACCCAAGATTAGCAAGACGACAACAGGCTTGTAGTTGCACAGTTGAATGAATCCAAGACCGGCAGATGAGCTTAGTAAACTGTGAGTGACTCCCAAGATTAGTAGACACTGCAGCAGGCTGTTGGCTCAAGTATAAAGAACTGGAGATCATTAAGCTAGACGCAGGATCCAGACCCAACAAACAAGCAAAAATTTCCAGTCTCTCCTTGTAGTGGAAGCAGGCCACAACCTTGAGATGATGTCCTGACAGGGGATTACTCGGTCTTAAGTGCCAAATCACTGAGAATCCTGCCCCGACCATAGTGACATAATAAAACTCTTACTATCATAAGACATTCGCCTTGCATAGGCCACAGTTTGTCTTTAATCAGGTGATACAGTAGCCATTGCTTAGTCAGGATACAAAAGGTTCAGGTGTGACAGTGCAGTGTGGTCACTGTTGGCTGCCTTTCACCAAATGGACACGGGAAAAATAAAGGGAGAAAATTAAGAAGCAAACAAGAAATTTAATAACTAAAATGGAAAAGAAAAGCAAGGAACGATAATTAAAATTTAAAAAGAAAAAACAAGGGACGGGGAAAAGGAAAGAAAGAAAATTAAGGCAAAAAAAGAAAAGGAAAGCGGAAAAAGAGAAGTAGGGTCCCCAAAAAGAGGAAAGCCAAAAAATAAGAAAAGAGGAAAACAGTGGGGGTTAGCGCCCTCTGCTAACCAAGGAGGTCACGGGGAGGGGGGAGGTGGAACACCTACTAACCTAGAAGTAGCTGGGGCCAGAGTGCTTAACCCTCCCCGGTTTGAGCGGACTCATGGTAGCGGGCCAGGATTCCCAATCTGAGGAGTGCTCAAAGTCTCAGGAAACAGCGAAGGTAATGCACCTGGTTCTGGAAGGAGGTCCTGCTCGCCCAGGGGAGACATCTGTCTGGCACTGTGTTCTGCTGAAGGTAGTTCGTGCCTCCAGATATTGGCACCAGGGGGTATGCTTCTGAAGCACGGTGGAGCAGAACCTCTGTGTCGGGTCTGGGGTCGTGAGGATGGAGAGCGAGGGACAGGTTTCACCTTTCTGGTCAGCAGCCAGCAGTACAGGCAAGCTGAGCTGATTTATCCGTTTTCTGTCTTTCTAGACTGCTGTGTGCAAAGCTTCCAGTGACCATGCTGTGCTAGGTCAGCTGACACTTCACCCACTTTGTCTTCTTACTTGCCATTTGTTAGCTTCTCTGCATTTTCCTTTGAAACTTCTGGTGGGTTCTAGGGTTACCTTCTATCCATTTCCTTTGGTCTCTCATGTCTTTGTTATAAATGATCTGCCTAGTGACCACCTTT